GATCTCTGCCCCCACCCCTCCCTCCTCGGACCCGGGAGTCTCTAGCCCCCGCCGTCCAGACGCCCCCCTTAGGCTCCCGCACCGAGCCCCAGTCCCGGAGCGGCGCTCAGTGGCCCCCAGTAGAGCCCAGCCCCTTCCAGCGCTCAAACTCTTTTGTTTTAAATGAACTGGATGGAGCAGCATGGAACTGACGGGAGGGGGGCGCGCCGGGGGCGCCCTGGGCATGCCGGGAGTTGTAGTTTCCCGCCCTCGGGGGCTCGGGGACGAATTCCTTGACCCGATGAGGATAGGGCTGTGCCCTTAGGTCTTCATCCGCGGCTCTGAGGCAGAGCTGGATGTGGGGTGGAAGTCGAGGTCCCTAATTTTTTAAGGGGTGCATACGGAGAAACGGGGCAGTGTGCAGAAACGGAATAGATTTGAAAAAGGCTAATGCAGCGCGCACCCTGCAAGACCCGCTCCTTCCCCATACCGGCGGATCCTGGGGCCCTTTTTCTTATGGTAATAAGGGGGGGGTAGGAGGCGGGGAGCGATCCCCGCTTGGTCACTGCGGCTTTCTCTCTCTCTCCCCTCTTCCCCCTCCCTGCCGCGCTCCCTCTCCTCTCCCCCTCCCGCTCTCTCAGAGTCGATCCCGGCTTCGGGCAACGGGGAGAGGTTCTCAATAGAGCAGACAAAGCCCGCAGCTGCGACGAAGAGAGAACAGGGTTCTGCGCATTGTGCGGGCCGGGAGGGGATGCCGGGCTGGGGGTGGGACCCCCTGACAAAGGATGGGGTCCCCCCATCCCTAAGTAGCAAGCCATCTCCCCTCATCCCCCCGCATCCCAGTCTCGGAGATCTCAGAAGCACCGACTGGGAGGTGAGTTAGTTCACGTCCTTCTGATCAGTGGAAGGGGACGGGGAGGTCTGTGGAGCGATGAGGTGAGGAGGATGAGGGGTGGAGGGAGAGAAGTGGGGGACGGAGAGTGGGGAGGCGGGAAAAAGTCTTAAAAGCATGGTGTGACTTAACAGTTTGGGGTGAGGGCCTTCAGCTTTGGGTGTGTGGGAAGGAGGGAGGGCAGACCGAGGCGGGACTGGGAACCCAGGCTTCCTTCAGGCCTGGGCTATGAACACAGATTGAGGGCAATCTGTTCTTTAACAACGCGCGTCATTCCACTCTGCTTCACCAACCTCTCTCCCACTGAAAACGCATTAATTCGGCTACTTTGACTCTGGAAATTTGGTGGGAGTGAAAACAAGTTTTTAAGGCTTGAATTGGACAGTTGGGCACTTTTAGAGGGAGTTTGGGGAAGGTGGAGTGTAATGCAATCTTTTCTTCTCCCCTTACCCCATATCTTCAGCATTTCTTTTGTCACCTTTTTTATGCCTGGGTCTTTCTCAAGAGAAGAAGGGATGGCACTGCAGCTTGAGAGCTTGAGGTCAGACTTTAAGAAGAACCTCCCCAAAGAGTTTTATAAGAACGGGTGGGTGAGCCACAGTGGTAAGTGTCCTTTTCAGAAATGCCTTGGAAATTGAAAATCTGAACTAGTTTGTGAGGTAAAGGCCTGTTTGGAGGCAGGGAAACGGATGAGATGACCTCACAGACCTAGCACTGTGTGGCCATGAAGGCTGAGCTGTTTCACCAAGTTCCCCAAATTGATCCTTAGAAAAAGTGAATTTGCACACCAATGGAATTGGTGCACTGCAGGGCTCCTTCTTTGCTAGGCAGAAGATCCAGGGAAGGAGAGCCTCAACTGAGGAATCCTGGAAGGCCCCGGGAGTTGGGGAGGGGTGGTGTCCCCTGCATGGGGGATTTAACATAAGACCAACAACAAACCTTATTGTGGGATGGGGTGTTACCACCACTGAGCAAGAGTGGGAGAGGAAGAACTGGAGAGACAGAGCCCTGGAGAGTGGGCTGCTTCTGACTCTTGTCTCCTCTTTGTCTGCCCCAGGAATCTGGAGAGGAGGAACTGTGGTACTGGGGACCAAGGGGATCTTGATGGGGGAAGGTTCCTACTTTGTGGATTAGGTGACTGTTTTTCACATTAATAGAAATAGCGAACAGTTGGATAGGACTTATTATGCGCCAGGCACTTTTTGTGGGGCCAGCTGGTGTGAGCCTTCCTGTCCCCACCAAAATGAGATTCCCCCCAGACACCCATCCTGAATTTGCCTTGCCTCTGCTTTCCTCCCTACTAAGCTAATTAAAGCAGGAGGTTAATGACCAAAGAAGCCTTGGGGATTTGGCCAGGGAGGAAAACAAAGGGCAGAAACAAGTGTGAGTGGGGAGGGGGACAGCTGCTGAATGGGGAAAGGGCAGGCTGAGGGGTGGGGTGGGCAAGGCGGGGGGTTCTGCTGGACCCACATCACTGATCCAACGGCAAGAATGAATCAGCTCTCTGGGAGTGTTAATGTCCACACAGTGCCCAGCACACAGCCCTGTCCAGAGCAGAGGCTCAGTAAGGGTGTGTTGAGTTAACTGCATCTTGAAGCTTCATGGTGTGAAAGGAAGGAGCAGGCCTCTGCTGCTTGTTAGTTCTGCTACCTTGGGCAGTCATTTACTGCTGAGTCTCAGTTTTCTCATCTCTAGGATGGACATAATAAGCCAAGTCCCTAGCACAGTGCCTGGCTCATTTTAGGTATTCAGTCAATGTTAGTTTCCTGGACCTGGTTGTTCTCCCCTTGCAGTTGACTTTAGCCAGCTTGTAGTCTACATTAATTACTTTTCATTCATTTATTCATTCATGCATTCATTCAGCCAAGCACTTCCTATTGAGCTCCTAGGATGGGCCAGGCACTGGAGGAGATTCTGGCCCATCATGAGTCACTTAAAGTCAATTCTAGGTCTAGACTTGCTGAAAAAAGATCATCCCAAACAAACAGCAGATAATTCCAAAAATAATTTCTGTTAAGCACTAGAATGCAGGCAGACTCTGTCTGTCTCTGTCTTTCTGTCCACACACACACACACACACACACACACACACCCATGCCAGGCTCCTAGCTTCACGCCTGGGGAACAAAGGACCCTGTTGAGCTGGCTGTATGTGTATTGTATGTCTACACACACACACACACACACACACACACGAGAGAGAGAGAGAGAGAGAGAGAGAGAGAGAGAGAGAGAGAGAGAGAGAGGGCTGGCTGCAGGGCTGGAAAGGTGACTCTGTTGAGAGTCCAGGGTTTGTGTGGAGACAGGAGAACAGGCAGGAGTGGGGTGGGTGATCCAGACTGTGAGCATGTCTGGAGTGGAGTTGTGTCCCTTCCCTGAATAATCCTGAGCACCTGTTATCACTGTCTAAACAGTACCAAGCAATGGAGGCACACACCTAACACTTTCCCCTACCCACCCCTATTTCCAGAGCCCCTAGGGAAGAAGGGAGACACAGGAGGCTGCCACCAAGGCCACCCTACCAAGCAGGCTGGTTCTTAGAGAGGTTATCTTCCCATCTCCCTACTCTTCTCAGGATGCCTTCTCCATCTGTCCTAGCCAGCTGAGCCTCTTCTCCCATGCATTATGGGGTTTCCATTTTCTTTTCTTTTTTTCATATATTTACTTTTTATTGAATTTGTTAATGTTACAGAGTTGTACTGCCAACCATGCCTGAGAATTCAAAGAAAGAAATGGTACAATGGACATTCTCATCCACCCATCATACAGTATATTAAAACTTGATTTATGTGCATTTTGATAATTTAACAATCTTAAAAAGTTATAACAGGAGTTGAAATTTAAATGTGCTGCAGGTCTTTAGATTTCTAGTACAGTATGCCATTAAATAACACCTCCCCATATTCATCTCAGTTCATTGCTCAATAACATAACCTCCAAAAATTTTTGCTGGGAAAAAATATATACTTTTCAGGGAAAATGTGTAGACCTTGAGGTCCAAGAGACTGTTTTCTTCTCTTAATACCCTTTCCTTGTGGGAAGACCATCTTGCTATCAAACCGTCATCCTTCCTGCTGAGAGTGCAGCCAGTTTTCTCTCTTGCTGGAATGCTCTCATTAATTAATTTCAACCAATGACAATGTACTGGGTAAAATTCTGTAGGCCACACAAAAGAAATATCAGACTTGATCCTTGCCCTCAGCAAGACACAGAAATTAGTCTACATGAACCAGAACTTGGGCAAACAGGATTAAATGTGAGGGCAAATGGTCTTTGGGATTTGGAGGGCTACAGACATTGGGGGAGAGAGTAGGTCACTGTGAGTCCTTCTGTTATAGATCCAGTCTCCAGCCTCATGTTTGGACCTGGACAGATGAACATCTCTGCTTCTCCCCTGGGACTACCCCAGCACTCACCCTACCAGATCCCCTGCTCTGTCTGATTTCCCCAGGGAGAGCAGCTCAGAGGGGCTTGGGTAGAGCCTGGGCCCCCCAGGACAGCTGGCTGACAGGGCCCCTCTGGGACTCAGGGCTGGACCCAGGCGTCCAAGAGGCGGGTGATACTGGAGCTGTGACAGTTGGTCCCCTGATTCCTTATGCAGTGGCGCCAGCTCTGGTTTCGGGCTGGGGTGAGGGAGGGGGAAGGGCACCTGGTGCCAGCCAGGGCTGGGTACTCTCTTGGGGCAGGGAAGGGGAGGCAGTAAACATGCCATTCGTAGGTGGATGAGGATTTTTCCATTGCTCTTTCTGTGCCAGTCACTGTGCTAAGTACTAATATGGAATTATGAAGCCCAAGGCACAGTCTCGCACATGAACTTGTAGATATAAAAGACGTACTCACATTACAGAATGTCATAACTGGAATAGAAGTTGAATGAGTGGGTGAGTGAATGCGTGAAGGATTGAATGAATAGTTTGTCAATCATCTAACAGCCTTATTTTACAGAGAAAGAGCCTGAGACCCAGAGAACCCAGGTCCTGTGACTCCCTTCTGTCTTCTGTTTCATTATGCTTCCTTTTTCAGGAAAGGGAAGAGGAAGTCAGAGAGAGGGGTGGGAAGGGGCTTGCCGCTTTCTGAGTGCCTGTTTGGTGTTAGGCTCTCTTCTTGGCCTTTTCAGACTTGATATTATTTAATCATCTCCACAACTCTGTGGAGTTGAAATCGCTGGCTTTTCTTTTCTTTCTTTTTTTTTTTTTAAAAAAGATGACTGGGGCCTGCCCGGTGGCGCACTGCTACAGTGCGCTGCTTGGGAGTGCGGCGGCGCTCCCGCCGGGGGTTTGGATCCCACATACAGACCGACTGGCGGCCGCTCACTGGCTGAGCGAGGTGCGGGTGCAACACCGAGGGTTGCGATCCCGTTGCCGGTCCCGGTCCGGTATGGGCGCGACACTGAGGGTTGCGATCCGTTGCCGGTCACAAAAAAAAAGATGACTGGTAAGGGGATCTCAACCCTTGGCTTGGTGTTGTCAGCACCACGCTCAGCCAGTGAGCTAACCAGTCATCCCTATATAGGATCTGAACCCGTGGCCTTGGTGTTATTAGCACCGCACTCTCCCGAGTGAGTCACAGGCCGGCCCCTGCTGGCTTTTCTTAACATGAAGGACCTGAGGCTCAGAGAGGTTAAGTAACTTGCCCAGGTCACACAGCTGGTAAGAGGAGACTCTGGTGTTCAAAACTAGAGGTATATGACTCCAGACCCTGGACCCAGAGGTTGACATAACACCCAGTGAGTGCTTGGAGGGAGTGATTGCTGGAGCTGGAGCAGTTTGGGGAGGCTTCCTGGATGAAGTGGATCTGAAGGAGTCCCTGAAGGACGAGTGAGGTTCATTTAAAGGAAAGAATTAGAGGGATGTCTGGAGATGCCCAGAGAGGCTTGCAGGTTGGGCAGGTGGCCAACTTGTGTGGATCTGGGGGAGTAGGGGACGGATTGGAAGAGACGCGTCTTCAAAGTTTGGACACGAGGTGGCGCTGCAGGCTAGTCACCTGAGAGGCTCGAGTCTGGGCTCTGACACTGGGGCCCAGACACTTCTTCCTTGCAAAGCTAGGGCTCAGTTCTCTGCTCTGCCTCCTCAGGTGTCATCTCAAGCTTCCACCTCACCCTCGGCTTCTGGCGGGGCATGCAACACGCGGGGGGACAAGAAAGCTACCAGTCTATTTCTGACTCAGGACAAAAGCCCAGGTGGCTGAGACCTGGGAATCACCATGGGCCTGACCAGCTCCCCACGTCATCTTGAGCTACCCAGATGCTTAAGACTGGCTTCATGTCCAGCGCCCTCCTGAGTCCCTGGAAGACACTGTTCAAGGGACAGGCTAAGGAAACTGGTATTTGAATCCAGCTGAACTGGGTCTGAAAGGGAATAATAATAATAGTATCTAACTAATAAGGATGTAAAACTTTTCATTCAATAAATACGTATTGAACACCTGCTGTGTCAGGCACTGTTCTATGCACTGGGGCTACACCAGAGAACGAGACAGACAAGGTCCTTTTCTCACGGAGGCGCTGAGGTACACTACCTCAGGGAGGGGAAGCAGACTGTAAACAAGTACATAATGCTCTTTCTGGTAGTGATAATCATGACAAAGTTTTGAGGTGGCTAATTTAGAAAGGATCGTCATGTAGTGAGAATTTAGCTGGACATATATAAAGCATGTAGCACAGCGCCTGGTATCGTGTTAGCTATTATTACTATTAGTTTGTTCCCTTTGCTTCTGCCCCACTCCTTCCCCACATTCGCCTTTCTCTGTCCCAAATTCTCCATGTCTTCTCCCAGCAGCCCCCACAGGGACAACAGGTGCTGGCTTGGGAACTAGGAGCCCTGAGTTTTTATTTCTGGTTCTGCCCCAAACAGTCCAAACCAACTCCTCCCCCAGCTTCCCCAGCTTCCGGTCAACGACATTGCCATCCACCTGGTTGCTTGAGCCAGAAATCTGGAGCTATCTGATCCCTCCCTCTCCCCTAACTTCTTTCCACCCAGTCCATCAACAAGCCTTCTCAACTGCACCTTAAAACACTTCCCAAATCCATCAACTTCCCGCCTCCTGCTGCCATCCTGATCCAACCCATCATCACCTCCTACCTGCAGCAGACTCTAACTGGTCTCCCCGCCTCCACTCTTGCCTTCTCTGCTCCTTCAATCCATTCTCCACACAGTGGCCAGAGAGATCATTAAAAAAAAAAAAAAAAAAAAAAAAA